ATAAATCAAAATAATGTTAAATATTTAAAGCTGAAACAGCATAAGACCTCTTATCACATTTCCCTTAGCAGAGCAAGACCCCTGACTTACTCGTCTCTGCCTACTAATTAGTAGCACATCTGAGTAGAATAAGCACTTGCACAACCTTGCCCAACGTGCCTATTTTATAAGTAAAGAAGACAACCATTCTACAACACATGGCAAGTGAAGGGAGTGTTTACTTATTTGAAACCATAACCACGTCGACCATGTATTATTATAAAAACGGTGGTTGTTTAAAACTACTGAACATTTTAACTCTACCTCTGCTCTTCTCAGTACACACACCTATTCTCTTATGCTGATTGTGCTTTCTCTTCACCAATTTTCGCTACCAACGCTCCTGTATATAAAGTGTGCTCTGCCACGAATTCCAGGTAGGTCCTTCTCTCTACTCTACTTTATTTCGCTAAATAAAAGTAATTGCGTTTAAATGCGATAAGTGGCTGATAAATAAATTTAACGGAGTTGGCTGGATTTGTTAATCAGCATGCAATTCTTGAGATATCCACTTCCGGGTTTCTGCAGACTTAGCGTAGATTCATTTGAGTTGGGTGTGGCAAAAAACCTTTAAAAGAAAGAACAATAATTGGTGTACTTGAGTGCACTTCACTTTTACATGCCTATAGGCCACAATTTTTTCCATTGCGTTCACCTCTTTGATATTGCCACTTCATGTCGTGATCTGAGTCGTATGAACCACGAAAGACATGGTTGCAAAGGGTCGAAATTCTGAATAAGCAATGTAGCATATCCATAGAAATGATTGTTTTACCTACTGACAATTAAGGTATTTGTAAATAGGGAACACAGAGTCAGGCGGGTGGGCGTCGGTGGAGACGGAAGACTAGAAAAGATAAGTGTCGGTTTTCCAGTAGTGTTGACATCACAGCTACACGGTGTTCTTTGTCGCTCGTAAGTTCTTGAAGCGGAGCTGCACGATCCACTGCAAAATCCAATGCTCCGAATCTACTTGACAGAAGACTACTCTGGTCTGTTTGTTGAATAGAATGGGATATAAAAATGTGTGCACCTAAGCTTAATTTAGAATCCGCAATGAATGCAGGGTTTACAGGTACCCACACTTCTACTAAGGATTTAAATTAAAAAAAATTAAAATTCTGCAGACCAGGCTGAGTTATAGATTAAAGCGCAATAAAATGGCCTGAATCGCCACTACCTGCAATTTTGAGTGTTTGTCAAAACAATGTCACTTCGTTACTTATTAGCTATAGCAATGAACGGCGTGTTGTCTACAAATTATTGGTGACACTGATCAGA